TATTATTAATAGTTTATATGTTTGTTCAGATTCGGTTCAATCCGATGTTTTAAATCTTAAAATTTTTTCAACCCGACCCAAATTTTAAAAAAAAAAATCAAATCCACCTATTAAACTTAATTCATATAATAAAAAATTAATAAAATATGATTAAATTAAGTTTAATGAGATTATATTCAATTCACATATATATAAATTAAAAATAAAAATTATATAAAAATAAAAATTAAGTTTAATAAAATATATAATTTTTATTTTTAATTTATATATATGTGAATTAATTTATATATAATTTAAATATGTATATAAATAAAAAATTTATATATATGTAAATTCAAATTGGATCGGTCGAGTTCGAGATTTAATTTTTTTATCTAAGATCTAGATTGAAATTTAAACAAGCTTAAAATTTGTGCCTAAGTCCTTTTAACGGATTTTAATTTTTTGTCCAAACTCTCTTAAAATTTGAATGAACTTTCAGATTTAGATTGATAACCTGACCCATGAACAGATCTATTATCAAACCTTATCTACTTAATTCACAAGAAAAAAAATTATATATATATATATTTCCTCAAACTTGCAATTTTTAAAAATCTGATCAATATATATGTTATTTGATATTGGGGTAACTTGAAAATGCCATTGTTAAATAAATAGTGAAGCAATATAGAAAACTTTTTTTTAACTCAACATCTACTTTATGTTGACAACAATAAATGATATGAATGAGTGCTTAATTTCGCAACATTTGAAGATATTGAAGATAAGAATTAATTATGCAATATGCATTAGTCTTATGCACAGCCACGTGAAATAGATTAAAATTTGATTATTTAAATAAACATTAAATGAATATAAAAGAATACACGTACCTGCTTATAAAAGAAACAGAGAAAAAAAGAAGAAGAAGTGAATAAGAGGATTTGAAAAAGTAAATTATAAATACAACCTTATTAATCTATATCTTTTTATTTTATGATTTATCTTTTTATCAATTTTCCAATTAACAAATTAAAAATATTGCAAAGAAACATACGTGCCTACGATCATATTATTTCCAATTTTAGAAATCATTACCATATATAATCTACTGAAAATTTTCATAGTAACAACATTCATCGACTTTGAATGTTACCTAGGTATATATATTCTCATTGTTGCAAAAAAAAAAAAAAAGGTTTACAAGTGTAATGACTGTCTAAAAAAAAATAATGATTATTAAAGAATACAAAACTTTACTAAATTTTTCACAATAAATATATATTTCAAAAATTATTTCATTCATTGTCATTAGAGTTTTTAAACGCTACAAATAAAATTAATAGAGCGATACATACTCTTATAGTATATTTAAAAAATGAAAAAACTAATTAGAAATAAAATATATGTCAATTTCTTAATTTTGCTTATAAAATTAAATAAATTATATTAATAATATATCAAATACTAACTCTATATATTTAATATACCAAATATAAAAAAATTCCTTTATAACAAAAAGAGTAAGTTATAAACCAAAATTGGTCCCTTTTTTTAAAAAACAATTAATTAGAAATCTAGAGAGAAAAGGTGCAATTTGATACACAAGTTAAAAAAACATGATTTTTCATTTCAATACTTTATCAATAAATCACATAATGGTTGTTCTTTTTTTTTTTTTAATTTTGCATTACCCTACAAACTTATTAATTTTTATATAAAAAAAGAAAAAAATATAATTTTTCATAAAAAATAAAATAGTAGTAATAAATTGAAAAAAAAAAAAAAAAAACCTACCATATAAAAAGGTTTGTCTATTAAGGAAATTTTGAAACGACCAGATAAGGACAATAAAGGAGGCGAACCGAAAACAAGAGAGAGAGGAAGAATGACTCTCAAATGCATTGCAAAATCCCAGATACAGAAAGAGAGGGCAATTGCATTGCAAATTATTGCAACATTCGTAAAAATCGTAAATTTAAGAATTTAAAAAAAAAAAAAAGAGTGGTGAAGACACGAGGCTCACCCATTGAAAGAGTCCAAAATGCAGAGTATCCAATTGGTCAGCGGCCAACTATGACACCTGCTTATTACCATAGTTGTCTCTTGTTTCCTTTGAAATTATGATTCCAATCTTTCATTGGAAAATTCCCTTAAATATCTCCAAAAAACACCCCAACCTTTTCACTCTTGTAATAAACACTGTATAACACCACTCATTTTGCATTTGTCACATTGCACCAAATTAAAGTCTCACAGATAAGTTTGAGTACTGAAAAAGAAGAAAAAACATAGAAGAATCCGTGGTGGTTACAGAATTGTCTCTGTTTGCCGTAGGCTTCACTGCCGCTTTTCTTCAGTTTGGGTATTCACCCTTTTTTTGCTCTTCTTTTGTGCAAGGTCACAGGGTTTTAATCTTTTTTTTATATGTTTATTTTTGTGTTTGTTCATGAATTGGGATTTGGTTTAATTGTGTCCTATGAATTTTGCTTTTTGAGATTTAGTTTTTAAGAGTTAAGACTCATTGAGAGGCTTGGTTTTATATTTGGTCCAGAAATTTCAAATTGTGTTTTGTTTAATTTTATTTTTTTTAATCTGCTTTTTTTCATCCTTAATTTCTTGTTTGCTAAACTTGGATTGGTTTTACAAGGTCTTATAATTTTTTTGAGTTACTAGTGCAAGTTGATTTTAATCAAATGTAGAGCTTTGAGATCTCACAAAATACCATTCTTTTAATCAATGGAAGAAAAAAAAAGAATCTTTTTATTCATGTCTAATTCCTCAAGACAAAACAAAACAAAATAAGGATTGATATATGTGACAATGGCGCATGTTGATCTTGTTTTTATCATTGAGTTCTGCACCTTGACAATCCTATGAAATCATTAGTAAAACTTTTCTCATTTGTTTGCATGTTGAGGTAAGATCTTTGTGAATGATAATTGGTTTTATATTTCATTTCTCTTCCTTCTTAAAAATCTGGTGAAGTCTTTCGGTAAAGATCCCATATTGTTTCTGATTACTATAGATCTTTGTAACTAAACTCAAGAGGGAAGTGTGGCCCAAAAAATTACAAATCATCTTCATTACTCTCTGTCCTCCCTTCGTTACCTTTTTTTGGAGATTTATGGTCCTGCATGCGTCTATGAAGCCTTTGTTCTCAAACATTCTTTGTATTTGTTTGTGGTTCAAGTGGCTAGATCTTTAGAACCAATTTTTGGGGTAAATTCTTTTGATTTTGCTTCATTCTTATACATTATTCCTTCTATATTATTCGTAGAAATATATCTACACGTAGTTTATTAATAAAATAAAGAAAATTTCTTAACTCTTTTTGTAATTTGAGATTTTAATTTATTTTTTTGTTAATTAATTTATTTTTTTGACTTCCAATTTGATATTATCTTTCAGAATTTGAGATATAAAGTTTCGTGAATAATAACACAATTAAAAGTGGAGTTAATATAAAGCCTATATGTTTTTCCCATAGTTATTTCATACATTTTATATATTTTTTCTTATGTTAATTGGTAGTAATAAATTTTTTATATTTTAATTTTCTGCTGAGTGAAATTTTCCTGATCAATTAATTAAGTTTGTGAATCGAATGTTGGATTACTCTAAAGGGCAAAACAAAATTAATTAGGCACATTTCTCATTTTGACATTAGTTTATGTAGCACTCTATAATTGTAAGGTCTGTTTGCTCATGTATGACTTAATTTATATATTTCCTTTGCTTTCTAGTGTGTTTAGATTGAATATTTAGTTGTTTAATTAGTCATGTTTTTATGTGGAGCATATCACTTACAATTCATTTTACGACAATGCTATAATTATTCAATTATAATTAATTTTATGACAATGCTATAATTATCCAATTATAATAAAAAATTATGTAGAGATTCACCATTTATAAGTATAAGATCTACATAAAATTGTGATGAATTTCATGTAATTTTAAATTTTAATTGGTTAATGTACTGCAGGTATTGTTAGTGAAATGCTATGATCCAGGGATTAAGACATGATTATTACAATGGCTGGTCATTCTGGCAAGTTGCAACACATAATTTTTTTACTTCGGAATTCATATCACTTCTTCCCATGTTTATCCTGTCATTTTTGCTAGTGTAGAATTCTTCATTACAAGCCGTACCGTTTTCATACCCTAGGTTAGTGTTTAGTATATGAAGTATAAGTATATAAAAATTCTTACGAACTGAACCTGAAGATACCATTATGAACTTATAGTTGAATTGACTGTTTCTAGATCACGTGGTTGCATGCATGCAAAATACTTGTGTGATCATTTGCATGCACTGGAGCTGCAACATGCCATTGTTTCCTTGCATTAGAACAAGTTTTCATCTCATCAGCAATGTTCTTATATAACGATACATCGTATAGCTGTTTTGATTTTTTATTATCTAATCTACATCTTTAAGCAAAAACTCATATATAGGAATCCCGTTGCATAATGTAATAGGTAAAAGTTGAAATTTTTGTTTGCTTTTGAATGTATTAATCGATCTTATTATGGAAACATCAAGTCTTTCTCGTAATTAAGATAAATGATTACAGTATCTAGAGCTTAAGCTGAAAACTGGTTAGTTTGCGTTGAAGTAGTTGAATTGAAATGTTTTATATATGAAGAGGAAGAACAAGGAAACAAAGAAAGAAATTAATGCACATAGAAGATCTTTATAGTTTGTAATGATTAGGAAATTGAACATTGATAAAACTAGAAAATCTTAGTTAATTATTGTACAGTGGATCTCTTCTTGACATCGGCAACAATTACCCTTGCATTAATATATTTATCTTCATATTGCTTTACATTGATGATGTCTTAAACATGCATGCAAGGTTTACTTTGTCACCTTGCACTTCGACTCTGGTAAAATCAGGTTACTCTTCTTCTAAGTAAATTACGGGTCATTTGTTTTCAGGTCGCTGGGCAGCCCGGGCTTTCTTCTAGTGATTTCTTAACGCTGAAGAGAATATTTGTTGGCCATAATGCAAGGTCAAGGTCAAGGCAGCAGCTCCAATTCCTTCCCAGGAAACTTTTACTTCAATGGAAGTCTTGGATCTGATCAGCATAATATGGTTCCCGATGCTTTAGTTCATGATGGACATACTTCTATGAGAGGGATTCGTCAATCCAGTTCTGGTCTTGATACCCAAAACCATGCTGGTTTTGATCAGTTCTTAGGTGATGACTTTTGGCTTTCACCCCTTGGTGATCAGGCCGGCACTAGTCAAAGGTCTGAAGAAAGGCATTCTAACGAGCCAACCTTTGATCCTTTCCTAGCGAACCTTAGCATGAACCCTGGTAATGGTCATGTCAGTACTGAGCACGGCCCAATTGGCCCATCATTTTTGCCAGGGCAAGAGGCTGGTTCTGGTCCTCTCCATGTCCAACATAACTTAGACCTGAATGCTGCTGTACATGAAGGCAATGGAATTGATGCAACTCAGGATAATGGGCCATACTTATCATTCGACCTTTTCAGATCAGGAGCAGCAACAGGTGATCACATCCCAACCTCCGGTGGTTCTTCTAGCCCAGTCATGATTTATTCAGGAATTGCGGGATATGTTCTAGAAGAAAATATGAGCAGAGAGGGTCTTCCAGCTAATGGCCAGAGAAGGCTTTTATGCAAAAGAAGGGCGCCTGAATTTGCTTCTGGACAAGTAACTTCTGGTGATAGTTCAAGCTCCGCACGGCGAGCTGGGAATTCTGAACAGCCACGGGTTACTGCCCAAGATAATGTTATCAGCAGCTTAAATCCAGCTAGTTCCTTCAATAATAGCCTGAATAGCAGTCATTCGACAGGACTTATGGGTGCTGTGCCAACACCCCATAACTTCCATCAAATTCCAAACGAGGCTGGACAAGCAGACAACTTTCAAAGAAATACCCGTTTGAGAAGAACTGTAAGTCAACAGAACCCTACACCAGCAAACTTATGGACATGGAACTCAAGCAATTCTAATGTACAATCAACTGGTCAACGATCAGTATTTTCTCCATTTGATCAATTTACGATTACAAGCTCGGCACCAGCGTCAGTTCTGGTAAATCCGGTGCAACCCATTGTACAAGTCTCTAATTCGTTGCAAGCTCCGCTACCTTACCGATATTGGAATGGGACAACGATGTCAAGGATTGGTTCTTCGTCCATCTCTCTTGATCGGACTTTAAATGTAAGAGAAGCTATGGGACAGGAAGATAACTTGAGAAACAACGGAAGAAATATGATGATTCCGTTGGCAAACATGCAAGCAAACATGAACTTAGCCAATGGGAATGCAAACTTTCTTGGAAATATTGCCTCCTCCTCGAGGATCCAATCCAGCTCGGGCATGCATATACCATCTTCGTCCATGAGGTCCCCTCAACCAAATATGGCTGAACAATATGCACGACGAATGCGAGATATTGTCTATCGCTCTGAGGGCTGGAGGCAGGGGAATTACTGCCCAATACATTCTGGTGCTTCTCCTGCTTTGCGAGATATGGACGTTTCAGTGAGAGGTGGTAATGCCAGATCTGCTCAGGTTCCTCTGAGGTTGGGAGCGAGAGCTGGGAGACAAGCTGGCCATCATTCTGAAGTCTCACCTACGGTACAATCTCAGACTGCTTTCCAAAGGAGAAGTAGACTGATATCTGAGGTATGCTCCATAGATAATAATTATCTCCATAACTATGGCTTCCATTTATATAAATTTCTACAAGAATGATGCTAATGTGCTGTTCATTAAATCAAATTTGCGAGAAATGCTTGAATACAAAATTAGTTATTTCTGAAAAATGAGAATCTAGAGGTGTTGATTTTAGGTAAAAAAGAAAAAGCTAATATGTCATTGATCAACACAAAGATAGAGCTTCTTAGGCAAGGAAGAGTGTTTATTTATGTTGTTTTCTGGTTTTAGAATGTACTTGGGAACTAAGTACTAATTTTGTTTGGTATTTTCATTTTAATTTGTACTTAATTAGATTTTCTTATTGGCTGCTACAACCATCACTGAATCCAGAAGTTCTAACACCCCTGCCTTTGCCATAACAGGTTCGCAATGCCTTAGGACTTGTACGGAGGCCTGGTGGCTTACGACTTGAGGTAGGGTGGAAACTTTGTTTATTTATTTTTAAAAGTTTTAGTTGGATACAAATACAATAGTTGTCCATATTGTTACATGTTGGTTTCTCTAGTTTCAACTCAAAAGGATTTGCTGCGATATCAAGGTTTAACTTTAGTTTTGCTCCAATGGTGGTATGCTATGTCAGGATGTCATGGTAATCGATCGTTCAGTTTTGTATGGTATGCCTGAGGTGGCAGATATTCATGACGATATGCGCCTTGATGTTGATAATATGTCTTATGAGGTAACCTTTAAATCTTTGTAATTGAATGGCATTGACTTCAGATATTAAAATGAGAAGATTTCTTTCAAATGTTGGCGAATTGATTTGGATGAAGCTCCTGTCCCTTATTTTCTAGGATTTTTTGTAATCCTGAATAACAATTATTTTCTTTAGGAACTACTGGACCTGGAAGAGCTAATTGGGAATGTTTGCACTGGACTAAGCGAGGAATCTATTCTGGCCAATCTGAGGAGGCGAAAATATCAGTCTATCACAACTGAACCTCCGGTAGAAGCTGAACCATGCTGTATCTGTCAGGTATATGATCCCTTATTCTTCTTATTCCAGGAATAAATATAAAGGTGAAATTTAATTAGTTTTCTAAGCACATTCTTTGGAGTTTGTATGGATTAATATAGATGTTGATTACTGCAATTAATTTCCATTTCGCTGTGCTTGGAAACTGTTTACAGGAGGACTATGCTGATGGAGAAGAGCTTGGTAAGCTGGACTGCGGTCATGACTTCCACTTCAATTGCATTAAGCAATGGCTTGTGCAGAAGAATTCATGCCCCATATGCAAAAAGACAGCTTTGGCTATTTGAAAGCAGGATCACCATTGTCATGCCTCCTTTTAGTCTGACAACAGATAATTGCTGAATGTTTGGACCTGCCTAAGGATTATCTCGCCTCAGTATCTTTATAAACATTGTTATTTCCATTTCCTTTCATTGCACAGGTTTTCATGTTAGCAACAGCCAAGTCTATGAGAATGAGACACCTCATTTTCTCATACTCATTACTTTCTCCGCCAGGTGGATGCTCTAAGGGCTGGGCAGACATGGAAGCGCATCCTCCTAGTTCAGGATGTTGAGGAATAAATTTTAGTTTTGAAATTTTGCTTTTACAATAAAGTCGGGAAAAACGAAACCTAATCCAATATTGTAGAATCCCCAAGCTTTGTTGATTAATGTAATAAGAAGCTGAAGGAGACTGTTTAAGACTTCGCACCTTCTTGATTATCTATATTTTCTATATTCCTTACGACTTGATCATCAATGATTTTAAATTATCACGTTTGGTATAATATTATAAATTATTATTAATTTTAAATTATTGTATTTAATATTTTACGAAAAAATAAATTATAAAATATAAAATATTCAAAATAATCTTACAAAAAAAGCAAAAATTAAATATTTATTAAATTAATAATTTATAAAATAATTAATGTTATTTTATTAGAAAAATATAAAATATCAATCAATTTTAATTAAAATAATTTTTAAAAATTATTAAATAAATGTATTATATTTTAAATCAATAAATATTTATTCAATTGTAACAAAAAACTTTTTTTAAAATAAATAATTGAAAAAATCAGTTTTTGAAAATTTTTACTAGTCAACTTTTTTAGGGCAATATTACTATAGTTTGTGTAAATTAATAAAAAAAAATATTAAAAATTAATTTTCTCATGGTAATAACAATTTTTGCATCTTTTTATGTTGAGAATTAGGATAATTTCTTAATACAATTATCTTATTATCTTAATAATTTAAAATCATTATCAAATCAAATATATAAATTGTTATTAAATAAGATAACGTAACTACCGAATACAAATCACCTATAACAAATGCTCTTTTGGGGTAATAGTCGGTTATTGCTGTTTTTGCAAGTTAATAATTTTGGTAGCCATTTAGCTATTGCAATTTGCAAAAACCATATAGGTGTAGGCTCATCCACACCTTGATGCAGCACTTCAGGCAATGCTAGCCAGCTATTAATCAGCCAAGGCTATAATCAGATTTAATTGACAGATGATGCAGCATGCAAATCAAACACTACCATTTTTGGACTTTGGTACCAGGAAAAGAATGTAAAAGATTATGGGTTCCATTAGTTTCAGGTATTCTTTGTGGTGGCAGTAGCCTTTTGTGCGAGGCAGTGTTTGATTTTAATCTGATAATATATTTGACATCAATGATCAATCATTATTGGATGCTATCAATAAAAACAAAGATCTTGACTCTGAATTCTTACACTTAAGAAGGCAGTGGTCTGCGGTCCACTACATACAAACTGGGCTCCTCATATTCCAAATTTCTAAAATTTTTGGTACTCTTATTTTCATCTTCATCCATTAGTGCCACCAGAATCAGAGTAAAAGAGAAAGCGACTCTTAGCAGAACTCGGGAGTTCATCTTCCTGAATCCTCAGCCGTCTATCTTCCTTATCCATCTCCATCAAAAACAAATCACCCAATGTACATAAAACCAGGACACGACACGTGCATCCGAAAACCTTGGGAACAGACGATTTCTCTAAATTTTACGGTTCACCAATCAAATCACCTCTCTTTAAAGTTGATCTACAAAATTCCTCCATCGTCCGATCAATTCACATCCCTATGCGTCATGGCCTTATCCAATTGACACGTCCACATTCAATCTCGTGGAACCCACCCAAAAATTATAGATTTAATGATCGTATCTCAACTTGCCGTGTGTGGATTTTATTCATCCTGCAATGTGTGACGTTGATGACAGAGACGCAGATACTCTGATGGTCCCGCATGTAGAGTAGACTTAGGAGGGTTGGATACGAGATCTATTGGGCGAATGAAGGTGTGACACGTAAGTAGACACAGTATAAAAAGGCTGATTAAAGATATTGAAAAATTCTCGGGAAAAAAAAAATTAGTGGTTTGCTTAAGGTGGCATTTGGTCGGACGAGACAGCGAAAGGGACAGATTGTGAGCGCTCTGATCATCTGACCAAACTTTGAATTTTAAGACTATAATCCAACGTTAAGAACAAAAGACAGAACCGGAAGTCTCCCAACTTCATATTACATGCCAACTACTAACTGGTCTGGTTTCTAAGTTATACCATTACTATTTTTATCATTCGAGTTTTAATTTTTAAAAACTCTTGTCTTTTTTTTTTTATGTTTTTATTCTGCCCCCACAACCCATACCCACACCATGTTATGTTGTTTCAAATTTCAATTAAACTTTCTAACTTTTTTTCCCTCCTCCACCCAACAAAGTAGTTGGATACATGAACACTAACACCCAACATTACCATGCAGACAAGTCACCATTAATTACTTGATTTCACTTTGCACCACAAAATATTATTTCTTAAGTTTGGCAACTTACAACAACAAAGGGGGAGGTTAATTTTTCTGGAGTCAAAAAGTGAATAGACGTCTCACAATAACAGCAGGGAGATCATAGGAGCTAGCCTAGCCTGGTGCAGGAGAGATTAGGTTGCCTTTGCGTGTAGATATCCTGGCAACAGCCAAATGGCTAAGCCTAACCAGAGAGCAACCAATTTGCCAATTTGCACCAGAAATCAGTTTCCAAGCATTGCAAATGGAGAAAAACAATAGAGACCCTGCTTTTTCAAAGTGGCGAAATACATGCAATAACTCATCAACTACGCGGCAAGATGGCTAAAAGTCAAAATGAGAGTTTTTGAACTTACAATAAATGACTCGGTAGTAACTTTGGTGTTTTCTTTTTCTCTCTTTCAGTTTGTGTCAGTGACTGTGAGGAACTGAGTTGTGTGATTTCTAGTCAGAGACCAAAATATACTGAAAACTGAGGTAAAGCCATCCGACAAATACATAGGGATTAACTGATAAGCTCTTTGGAAAGCCTGAAAATCTTGTGACCACTCAACTCTCTAGCAAATTCCAAGGCATCAAACGCAATACAATCTCAACATCAACCACATGGCCACGCATTTAGCAAACCAGATCCTTTCCTTTGGACTTTGAAGTTGGGTTTATCACTTTATTATCCCCAATACAACTTATATCCAAAGAAACTGAATAAACAATAATCAAAATATGATTTTTAATCAGTCAGTACTTTGTTTTATGACTTTATTCCAATGAAATCTATGATTAGGGTATAATTGAAATTTTAAAACATAAAAATTAACCCAAGTGAAATGAAGAAAAACAAAAAGGTTGCAGGTCAGTGTCCAAAATTGTAATGATAGAGGGCAAGAAAAGGAGATTACAAGAAAAGCAAAATAAATGGGGCTGTACTTCATCATTGGGGACTAGACTTGTCTCATCTTGGATTAAAATATTTATACAATCATCACCAGCTGGCAATCAGTGGTTACAAAGATGACCACATTTTGAGACTTGGGTGGTTCTTACTTGGCTTTTTCAACCAAGCAATCTCTTCCCTTTCTTCATTTCATATTTTTGTTTTGCAAAAGAGTAGTAATATAAAGTAGTCTGAAAATAAAAAAAATTATAAATATTGATATTTGGATATAAATTTATTAGATGCGACTTTACAAATATTTATATTATCAATTTATTAATGATTAGTTAATAAACCACCTTCAATTAGAACAAAGGAGATCCAAATTCTATGCGAAAACACACCAAAAAAAAAAAAAAGAAGCAAAAGAGCTTGCAAGAAGAAAAGAAAAGAATTGGTCGTAACAGATTACAAAGAAGGATTAATTAATTTATTCATTAATCAGTAATGAAAGGATAAAACCATGATTTAATGTCCCGCACGTGCGCCTGTGATCGTGAGTGAGAGTTCACCTGACACTGTAGTAAAAATTTATTTACTCTCACCTTTATATGTCATTATTTTAATTTGTCCGCCCAATCATTTGCCGTAAAAACCACAGACAGCCCCACCGGCAGTCACTTTACCACAAATCACCATTTTTTTCCTGATATTTTTTTTTCATTAAATAAGCCTCCGCCCACAAGATATAAACTTCCCTGTTAATGCTACTTTGTTTTAGTAAGAGAAACCAAAAACCAAAAAGGACGGTAACCGAAACGCATGAAAAGATTTTAAAAAAAAGAGAAGCTAATCTAAAAATGGGAGATAACATTAAACTTACCACGTTTGATTCTAAGAACAATGATAACAATAATAATTATAATCATGGGACGTGTTTATCTTCTTCGTCTGATGATATATCCAATCTTCTTCATCAAATTCTAGTTCATTCTTCTTCTTCGTCTTCTGGGATGGCCCACTTGGCAGGCCCAACTGAGAATCCACTGTGGTTGTCACAGTCACCGGCACCACCCGGTGGTAGAGTGAAGCAAAGGATGATCTTGACTGTTGATTCTTGTGGGAGAGGAAGTGGAGGGTCTGGTAATTTGGTTGGAGCTGCTGGTGAGAATGATACTGATGGGTATGATTGTCAAAGCGAGGTAAGTATCTGGTTTTGTGGGTTTATTATCACTATTTTTATGATTCTGTTGCTCAGCAAATGGTGATGGAAATGGAGAGAATTTGAGACATTTTGTTGACAAAGGTTAAGATCTTAATTACAAAGAGAGTTACACTACATGCACATGAAGTAAACAGTAAAGACCATTGCAAGATTCTTTTTGAATGTGAAATTTTTCATTTTCTAAGAAAATTCTTTTGCCTTTAGTTCTAGCAAAATTTTTAAAAAATATAACGGGATTTGTCTTTCCTTTTCACAATTCAAATTGAGCAAAGATTCAATTTTTTTTCTTTTTGATAGTTTGAAATTTGTTATAAGCAGGAGGGCCTTGAAGCATTGGTAGATGAGGCACCAACAAAGCCAGCTCCATCTCGTAGTTCCTCAAAAAGAAGCAGAGCTGCTGAGGTTCATAATTTGTCTGAGAAGGTTAGTATTTTTGTCTTCTGGTTTTGTAATAAATTAAATCTATAATAATAATGGGGCAACATTTATTTGATTTGTGTTGATTGTGTGTCTGGTTGTTTCTTCATGGATTTTCTATTCATGGGGTTGTTTGAGGCAGAGGAGGAGGAGTAGGATTAATGAGAAAATGAAAGCATTGCAAAACCTGATTCCAAATTCTAACAAGGTATTCATTTTTCACTTCATCTTTCTGTTTAATTTGATTACTTCTATATTGTGGCATTACTAATTAGGGTAATATATTGAGGGATTGAATTTTCCATCCATGGCAGACAGATAAGGCTTCGATGCTCGATGAAGCTATTGAGTACTTGAAGCAGCTTCAGCTTCAAGTTCAGGTAGTCAACAACTTTACAATTTTTTTTATGGGTGGATCCATAACTCTAGTTTAATTTATATTGCATGTCTTACTGAATCCACTGTCTAAACTTATGAGGATTTTGGGGATGTGGAAAGAATTTTGCATGAAGTAGTACTTGTTTGTTTATTTTGCATGATAGTCTTTTCTTGGACTAGGCTGTTTCATGGCATCAAAGCATTTCAAAGCTCACTAGCAGGTTCATAAGCTATTGTCTTTCTTCCAAAAGCAGAAAGGCCTATATGCCACGACATATGGCTGAACCGTCTAAACCCTTCAGAACAACATTCTTCTTGAGAATATCTACGAGTCAGCTGAAAATCGCCTCATTCTGTTTTGGTTTGAAACATGTTCTGAAAAAGTGATCCTTTTGATTCCTTTGCTAGTCTAGCTTGTTGATGATTAAAATTAAAATGTGTAACTTGATTATAAACTGGTGTCTCTAGAGAAATGTGGCATCTACATGCAAGATAAAATTGAATTTTAAGAAACTGATTGGGTGTATCTATTATGTTCTTTGAAGCTCACAAAGAACTGCCTAATTAATCCACTAACAGCCTTGAGAAGATAATAAGACTACAGAGTTTTTATTGTACCGCTAGAATTCTGCTGCAAACTTGCTTTAGAGGTGCTGTCAAATGTATAATAGGATTAAAAGACGAGATAGGAAAGACGACATCAAAGCTAGTTCAAAACAACATTACAAGAAGCAATGGGAAATCAATGCCCAAAATCATTTCATTGTCTTTGTGGTTTTTAACGGCTGCTTATTTCAGTTGTAAGATAAGGTTAAGGCGACACATAAATATGTCTGCATCCAAGCTCTGTATTACATATTAATAGCTGTAATTTAGTCAAACTTCGATCATAAAGTCTGCAGACCTACAGATCTATCTGCTGCAGGATGTTTGTTTTGTAGCCAAAATCTATCCTTTTATTGTCTATGTAGAATTGCTAATAACAAATGGAAATATGAGTGAAACAATGGGAGATATGGACAAAAAGTTTGCTTTTGATTTGTTTACCTTGTATTTCAAATATCAGTTGCTATCAATGAGAAATGGATTAAGCTTGCATCCCATGTGCTTGCCTGGAGTTTTGCAACCAATCCAGTTTTCCCAAACAAGAATGGACTTTGGCGAAGAAAAAGGTTCTCTACCCATGAATGTGTCAGGCACAGTGCCGGCGAATCAAGAAACCTCAGCACAGTTGGGTTTTGATCTACCCAACCAATGCAGTTCCTCAAACCCTGCATCTGTACCCAACATGTCAAACGTAATTACTTCAGAAACATCATTCGGATTGGAATCAATCCAGTCCCAGTTTGGGCCTTTTCAGCTCCTCTCATCATCTCAGGTAAGTCTTATGAGCGAGAATGCATAAAAATTTTGCGGAATAATCCTTACCAGTCATCTTACATTAAGCGATTGAGAAGGATATTTGCAGGGAAGACATTCTGCCACGTGATCAACTGAGGACAAAAATATCAGGTAGGCCCTAAAGATTACATTCTTCAACTCTATTAAAAATAGTATACTTGTTCAAATGGTAAAAACCAGACTGCTGCTTTATATACCATTTTCCATGCCATTACTTCTATGAAGAATGAAAGGTGGAGAACTCCCTGGTCTGACACATATTTAACTGTTAACAGAATTTGGCTCAGCGGCTATAAATACAGTTTCACTTCGCTTTAATACACGAGAATCTGATCTAAAGGATAGCGGTTCTATTGATGCAAGCATGATGAGAAGAAACCAATCCAACAGTGTGCTCTTAAAGAATATGGAGCATGACCTTATACTTTCTCCGCACCTGACTGGGCCACACGCGCAAAATCATTCCATCATATAATTTCTACGCTTGAACAACAGGCAAGCAGGTAGAAGTGACTCCAGTGATGAAATCAAGATAGAAAAACCGAACGTCTGAATTGGCTGCTTAACTGATGCTACTCTGTTAACCTTTTGGATTTAGTATAGCAACATTGTCCGTCAGCTGTTGTGTCTCTTTTGTATTTATCACAAAGCCTCCATGGTGAAGGCATTCTTACAAAGCCTCTATAGTGAAGGCAATGTCTTGACATGCCTCTTAAACATCCAGCAGCAAATGAGCATGAATGCAACATGAGCCTCAAATGTTTGGGATACTGAAGTAAACCAAAATTTCCCCTTTCCCTGGGTAAATTTAGCAGCTGCCACTTGCTCTTCTGATAATTTTCCATCAAAATTTTTGTGTTCGCTCGTATATAATTTACGAGAAAAAACTATTAGCCCGATAGTAAGTAATAGTTCTTATCTACATGAACCAAATTGGGTATGTTTCATGCTAAAATCATCTATCACCTTCTTCGATATCTGGTATTGTCATCTCTTTACAAAGCAAATTAAACACTAATTTTCTGGGCAGCTGCATTTTAACTAGTTTGAGTCTTTCTACATCTTCTTTGGTAGTGTTCTTCATGTCCTTGTTTTTTCTGGAATGTTGGGCTTAGGGTAAGTAGTCTTATCTTTAGGAATTAGTAGGATCAAAGAATTTATTAGAAGAAGATATTACAAGTTTAAATTCTCTTGAACCCCAAATATTCAAGAGTTTATTCGACATGCATGTCATGAGACCAATGTGGAATTGAATGGAAAGGAAGATCAATTTGTCTAGAGACATAGTACTCAAACTTCTTCAGTTCCTAGTCTAACTCGAATTCTATATTTATCGATGACGAGGAGATTCACACCTTTAATATCTCCCATGATTTAAGCAATATAAATTTAGTAATGCTGCATGTTAATCTGCATTAAACTTGACCTTAAACCTTTTGGCCAAAAGAAACTAATTAAATATAATATGCCATCTTTTTTTCTTCTAACAGAGGATCTTGATAGATATGAAGTCATGGAAGAGCTCCCATTTATGCTAAAAAAATAATTGTAACGATGATGATAACAGCAATGACAAAGATAATGACAACAATGTTTTACAATGGCAAAGGAAAACAATATTGTAAGAATAAACAAAAGAATAAAAAATTGAAATTTCCTGGAATGAAATTAAAAAAAGAAAAAACAAGTCATATTATGATATACAACAAGTAACATCTACACCAATAAACTAAAACTATATAATTTGAACTAACATGTTATTGTCTAAGTATTTTTGCATTACTAGAATGGAAATTTTTTTCTTTTAAGGCTTTGTTTGTTTCGCCAAAAATAGTTTTCAAAAAACGATTTTTATATTTTTAGGTGATTGTTTGATAAAAAATTTGATGATCAATAAAAAATGACTTAATGGTCAATAAAAAATAAAATCGTTTTTCAAAAAATTATGTTACGAATTTGAAAAAAATTATTTTTTGAAAAATAACTGTCTATGAGTATAACTATTTATTAATACTTTTGAGCATAATATTACTTATAAATAATATTATATTAATAAATAAATAACATACTATTAATATAATATATTAATAAAATATTATAATTTATTCATAAATAATATTATATTAATACATAATATTACAATATATTAATAAAGAATATAAAGAATAATAAATAGTTTTATTTTAAGTATTTTTATATTAACATAATATTTTAATATTAAATATTATTTTTAATATTAATAATTTAAATAATAAATTATTTTAATATATTTTAATAATAAATTATTTTTAATATTTTAATAGTTATATTAATATTATTTGAAAAAAATAAATTTTTCAAAAAGCAACCAAATAACAAAAAATCTCTTTCAATTAAAAAAGTATAAATATTTTTTGAAAATTATTTTTTAAAATTTATTTTTTACGAAACAAATAGCTTTTTTGATTGAAAATACACACATCCAATTTTATATTACTAACAAAGCTGCTTGGAGAATGAAGATAATTACTCTATGATTAGAATAATCTTTATTAAATTAATTCCTTTAGGAAGAAGACAAATGGTTGAATCCACCAAAGGTTAGTTTTGGACGAGGAAAGAAGAAAAAACAACACGGTTCATGACATTATATGTTGCGTCCAAAAGCGGAAGACTGTACCACATTGGGTCGTTGATTTCAATTTTTATGGGCACATTTCTTTTGTTTGCGAATGTAATGCTATCTTAGACTATAAAATCATAGTATTTGTCTATATTGTGAGCAGGCATATTTGTTTACATCCCACAGGACAACCACAAACTTCAAATACTTCATTTACCAACAAAAAAAAATCTCTTCTTTTGGGTAAAAAATGTTGATTAAGAAAAATGTTAAAGACAGAATGCACTAACCAAAAAAGTCAAACGTCTCTTGACTTACCAAACGAAAAAGTTGTTAAGATTGGAATATAATTCGTTGAATTTGGTTAATAATTCTAATCTTGTCTAATCTTAACCCAAGTGGAAATTGTGAGTCACGACATGGTACGCATGTTCCACCATTTTTATTCCAAAATGTGTTCAAAGTCATGATTAATGGTTTCCTTTGCTTCTCATTCTTCCGAAGAGACATGTTTGACGGGTTGGAAGAATTGAACCACAAAACGAATCAAAGACATTTTTATTTACATTTTCAAAAGAATTTTGTCATTTTAGGTTTTTTTGTTATTCCTTGTTATTATGATTTAAGCCTTTAACAATACTATTTGAATTTATCTAATTTCTATCACTTGAATAAATCCATTCATACAACTATTTTTACTAAATAAAAAGAATTAAAATCTTCATAAAACTTAATTTCTCTAAAAAAAAAATTAATGCTATACATCAAATGATCAAATATACTCAATATTAACAAAAAGTTGTTTAAGCTAATAAATTTTTTATTTACATAATCATTTTAGAAAGATAATATTTTATGAATTTAAAATTTAATATTTAAATTTTTTTTAAATTATGACTTTCGTTATAAAAAATTAAATCTTAATGATAATTTTTCATTAATGTTAACCTTGATTAAAGGCTTTTTAAAAATATGATACATTTTGCTTAATTTTGAAGATTAAACAATAAATGAAATCACGACCATATATAAGTAAATAAAAAGAAAGACAACTGGCCTAACCTAAGCCAAGAAAAATATAAAGAAAAAGTTTATATGTTCCACGAAAAAAAGCCAGGGACTTTTAACACAGACCGGTGACCGAATTCCGGTTTGTACACGTCATTCTCTTTGAAGGCTGACTAAGCCAGCGAACCCCGAAAAAACTTTGGATGAAATTCAAAACCCTTTTATTTTTATTCTCCTTTTTTTGTCTCTCAAAAGAGAGTACGAAATACGCTTTAATTTTAACGATCTCTCCAACTCGTTTTTTATTTTTCCTATTTAATGTTCGTGAGCCACACGCTTGCTTTGTTCCACTCTATAAAAGCAGGCGAGTTTTGAACTGAGAAGTAGTTAAAGGATTGCAGGGGCCAGAGAGGATTTATTAATGGAGGCGAAAGAGAACGGGGCGAGTGAGAACGCGGGTCGGGTCATGGACGGACCTACGAACCCGATGGTCACGCCTCTTCTAACCGATCTTTATCAGTTCACCATGGCTTATGCTTATTGGAAAGCCGGCAAACACAACGAACGAGCCGTGTAACTTACAATTTCTTTTTTCCCTTTAATTTCATTTCATTTTGAATTTATCTATTGCTTTGTTCAATTGTTTGGCTACTATGAAAATCGGATTGAAAATAGAGTTTGTTACTAGGTAGTTATTAGTTTGTCGGTTGTTAGTTACATTTGCATGTTTCCAGTAGAGTTTTTTTTTTTTTTCTTTTAACTTTATTAATTTCTTTACAATCACAAATTTCAAATCCTTCATTTTGAATTAAATGCTTTAAGGTTCGATCTATATTTTCGGAAGAATCCGTTCGGTGGTGAATTTACGGTGTTTGCTGGTTTGGAAGAATGCATAAAGTTCATTGCAAATTTCAACTTAACCGAGGAAGAGATCTCCTTCATCTGTGAAAGCTTGCCTGGTTCATGTGAGGTAAGCCGAACCACTTTGCGCCGAGGATTCAAGTAATAATATTCTAGTTGTAGTTAATTTATTTTCGGAACTGTTCTTGTATATTGGATGGTTAACTTGTTCCTTGTATCTGCAAACAACAGGAAGGCTTTTTCAATTATCTAAGAGAAGTTGACTGTTCTGATGTTGAAGTGTATGCTATTTCAGAGGGAACAGTTGTTTTCCCTAAGGTACCCCTGCTTAGAGTTGAAGGGCCAATCGCTGTGAGTACCATCTAACGAATTCTTTTGCCACCTCTGTTTGTCTTGAATTTGTTATTCGTTTTCTGCTCCTTTGTTTTACATCTTGATTTTTCTTGGTATCTAAACTTGTCATTTTTAGGTGGTTCAATTGCTGGAAACTCCACTTTTGAATCTTGTAAATTTTGCATCCTTAGTGGCTACAAATGCTGCTAGGCATAGACTTGTTGCTGGAAAATCTAAAATGTTGCTCGAGTTTGGGCTTCGAAGGGCTCAGGTTAATGATTTTTTTTGTTTTCTTCTTTGAAATGTTAATATTTGAGTTTCTCTGTGAAACATTTCCATTCATGTTAATTGCAGGGACCTGACGGTGCTATAGGGGCATCAAAGTATTGCTATATTGGAGGTTTTGATGCTACAAGGTGATTTGCTGAAATATTTGTATCATGTTGTATCTGCTTTAGTGGTTTCCTATATCATTTTTTTAAAGCGATGGAAATCAAGTAAAGTTAATATTTGTCCTCTGCTTGATTTTGAATTATGCAGAGCTTATGATTTTTCAAGTTGATTTATTCTTCACTAATGTAGATTCTTTATCTAAGATAATGTTTCATTTGATTTGTTTCTGTTTTTATGCTTTATGTTGACCAGCAATGTTGCAGCTGGGAGGTTATTCAGGATACCTCTTCGTGGAACACATTCCCATGCTTTTGTTAGCTCATTTATGGTTAGTAACATTTTCTGGATATTTCAATATCTGTAAGCAATTAACTTAAAGAGTTTAATTTATATTTTCTGCATTAATTTATATTTCCTGCATATACACTCACTAGTGGCATGTACTTTAGTTTATACCTATATGGTAGTTTATAACTTTGTATGTTGCAGGACTTTCTTCCCATAATCTCTCCCTCTATCTGTATATATATTTTCATAAATTGGGAATCTTTGTTATTTGAAGTATGTCATGGAAGGCATTAGTTTTAGCAAAATGAAGAGATTAAATATCTGTTATTTACAGAATCTTATTTGCTTTAATTCTGAGAGAGTTCTTTTATTCTTTAACTCTCTATTAAACTCGCTCATTGATGATACCAATACGAATGTTTTGTAAATTGCATTAGTGCAACTTTCCATTGCTCCTAATATATTGTATGAAAAAAAGACTTTAAACTGTGATAAGTATTGTATTTAATGCAATGACATATGATATGGGCACGTTTCATTTGTACAGTAATAACCAAAATATTTTCACAATAATGACTGGACACCTTTTGAGATCAAACTAGTTCATAAATAGCAAGCCTAATTAAAATTTTCCTTTATTGTTTGCCCTGTTTGTTTTTGTTTATTACCTTACTGGTATATTAATAAATGTGAAATAATACCTATGTAGATATGAGTGACATGGATGAAGCAACTGCAAGAGACATGATTTGAGTGGCAAATAAAGTTTTAATCTGTATATAGCTTTTAATTTGACTAATATAGTTATTAGTTTCCTATAATGTTCTTGAGTTTAACCCTTGCTATTGGCTATCTGTGTTTATATCTAAAATGCTATTTGATTGGCACTTTATTTCTTGGTGGTTTCTTGTCTCTTAGTGAATCGGTCCATGCTCCATAACATTTAATGTTCGGAGATGAGCTTGGATTACACACTGACCTTTTAAATTGCGTATTATTTTCTATCAGTTATCTGTATGCTGTTGTATGAACCATTGTCTTACGTGTTTTCATGTATTGAATATTATTATGTCTTCTTGGAGTATTTTTGTGCTTGTATATGAGGTTATTCAATTTTAATTTGCAGAGCCCTGATGAGATCCTAGAGAGATCCATGTGTAGCTCTGATGGTTCAAGTACTTGTGAGGACTTTGTCAGTCTTGTTCAGTCATGGTTAAACAAAATACAGGTGATGTGGATGGTCCTTTACACTTTTGTTAAAAAATTTTTAATTTGCTTGTCATGTCTATCTAGAGATATATTCTACACCATTACTTTGGTCAAAGTACAATAACCGAAACCCACTTCTGCTACATGTGCAAGTTCATCAAAATCAGGTATTTAAGCTTATGTTTCTTCCTTCCAAGAAGCCCAATGGCCCAAAATTGCAATCTTAAATCTAAAAGCCTACAATCTCAAAACCGATTAAAAAACAAAGGTTCACAATGGAAAGTGCAAAGCATTTATTACAGCATTTATTTCCATTTAGTTCCCAAAACCCAAATTATATCTACATATAGATAGATTTGGGAAATTTATATATTATATCTATGTATAGATTTGAGAAGTAGATTCATTGGATTATTGTTCTGCTTTTTGAGACAACATTGGCTAATATTTTGTCATAACAAAATGACTAATTTTAAAGGATTATCAACAATAATAATAATTACAGAGATCTACTATGAATAATTTTCAGCACTCAGACTAGTGATTCAACTTTGATATTTCCACAGGTAATACAACCATAGAATTTCCCATGTGTTAAATGCTGCAGATAGTCATTCATGCTATACCTACATCGCATGCATTGGACATAGAAAGCTTAGTTTTTAATACTAGTGAGTTCTTATGAACATCTCTGACTGTGGTTTGAGACCACAGTTGCTGCTTAACTAGTAGCCTTTCTGTCCATACTCCAGAAATTGGTGGGAGGAATAGCAGACGAAATGTTTATTCCTTTGAAAATCCTTAGAGTATGATATATAAGGAATTAGGTTGAGACTGATGCTTTTCTTTTCCTGTTTTCTTCAATGCAATATTGCTGCCAGTTGATTACTTGCTGCTTCACCTACCTTAAGTTGTCTCATTTGGTGCATATTTGTAGTGGTCAAAATCACTCAGTGGCATTTTTGGTGAGACCAATCAGAGTGAATTAGCAGCTTTCATGTCATATGCCTTGGCATTTCCTAACAACTTTCTTGCTCTTGTAGATACATATGATGTAAGTACACTTTCCTTTAGTTTTAGCTTTAAACCAAATTTGATGTAGTCTATTTTCTCATAACATATATCAGCACTAACATTGCAGTTTTGACATCCATTTTACCAGGTAATGAGGAGCGGAGTCCCCAACTTTTGTGCAGTTGCTTTGGCACTTAGTGACTTGGGGTATGTCTCGAAGGCTTATACATATATTTTATCTTTTCTTCTTATAAGAACAAATTCTCACTTGTACAAAATTGGGTCAATAGAATTTCTTTTGCTCCCATTTGATATTTTATCTGCGCCTATTTTCAGTTAGTAGTTTTTTATCATCTTTGTGATGACTTTCAAACACAAATTTACGTTGTCAAGCTGAATGGTCGTATTAGTAGCATTTTTTTCGCATGATGGGTTGGGAGAGAATGAATTAGTGTATGATTATATCTTGGCATTGTGTGTGGCTATACTTAAATTGAAATCGAGGTCATACGAAGAATGGCATGAAACACGGCTTTATGTGCCATGCGTCAACAGATGTTGCCTTTACTTCTGCTTTTTTTTGGCATTTTATGTGTATCATTGTATTTGTGTTAAACACTTTTTTTGTCGGGTTTCTTCATTTGTCATGGATCATTTGTAGGTCCTACTTTTGTCTAGATAACAACTGAAGTTTTATTGTGAATTTCATTCATACAATTAAGCATATGGTCATACTCAATTCCAGTGATAAGTTAAATGCACAAAATGCAGGTACAAAGCAGTTGGCATTAGATTGGACTCTGGTGACCTAGCATACTTGTCTAGTGAAGCCCGGAAGATCTTTAATGCAGTTGAGAAAGAATTCGGGGTTCCTGGTTTTGGAAAGATGAGCATTACTGCTAGTAATGATTTGAATGAGGAAACTTTGGACGCACTAAACAAGCAGGTTGTCAATCTAGAATAAATTTCTTTGAATAATTTAGTCATCTCTTTAAGGGCCTGTATCAGGATGAAAATGCCTCCAATATAGTACATGATTCACTCTTGTGCACATCTACTAATGAGGGATCAAACTTTTTCCCTGCAGGGTCATGAGGTGGATTGTTTTGGAATAGGAACCTATTTGGTTACTTGCTATGCTCAAGCAGCTTTAGGTTGTGTTTTCAAGCTTGTTGAGATCAATAATCAGCCACGCATCAAGCTTTCAGAGGATGTATCTAAGGTTTGACCTGGTTGCCCAGAAGTTTTAGCACCATGCTTTCTCATCATATAACACATTTCCTTATATTTATTTATTTTTTAAATACTAGGTCTCTATGCCATGCAAAAAACGATGTTACAGATTATATGGAAAGGAAGGATATTCACTGGTGGACATATTGACAGGGGAAAATGAACCATGTCCACAGGTATTCATTTATAGTTCCCATTATCTTGTTGTATAGGCTCCAAAGCTTTTCAGTGGTTAGATACCAACATTCTTATGCTTTTTTTTTTCTTTATTTGGTCTGTGATATAAAATTCACCATTAAAGCCGCTGGCTCATTTTGATTTCAAAATATATATATTTTTTGAACTTGGATTGCTTTAAATTCCTTTGTTAAGTCACCAACCACTAATAGCTGTACGCACCACAGCAATATATAGACTTAAAACTCCATAGATGCTACAATGATGAGGCCGAACGACCTCATTTTTAAGCTCTTTAAATTTGCAGGTGGGAGAACGAATTCTATGCCGTCACCCTTTTAATGAATCCAAAAGAGCATATGTCGTACCAAAGCGTGTGGAAGTGCTTCTGAAGTGTTACTGGCCTGGGAAGTCAGGTAGGAGCTCAGGATACCCATTTGGAATTTATCACTATCCTATCAATGAAGAAACCATATGAGAAACTAATATTTAGGTTTGAATTTTAGTTACTCGCTGTTGAACAGAAGAGAGACTCATCAGCAATTTGTTTATTCCCATTTACTAAAACAAGTTTTTTACCCTCTTGAAGATAAAGTTAGAGAAGAGTTACCAGCTCTCAAGGACATTAGGGACCATTGCATCAAACAGCTTGAGCAAATGAGGCCTGATCACATGAGGAGATTAAACCCTACACCATACAAGGTATTACAGGCAAATCCATAAAAATATTCTTTTTCTTCGCAAACCCTTGTTGCTAGTATAAAAGTATTTTTCTTAAACACCATGCAGGTGAGTGTAAGTGCAAAACTGTATGATTTCATCCATTTCCTATGGCTCAATGAGGCGCCTGTTGGGGAGTTGCAGTGAGAATCCAAGATAAAAATGCATGGAATAAGTATACAAATAGCAAGTGCAAGTAATGATTCCAATGAAGTTGGAGGAGCTCCTTTGACGTGGTGTTCATACATAACATTATTCTCACCTCTGACTAATAATCCCTTATTTTGTCACTATGCTTAATAAAAGGAATTGTTGTTTTTTTTTTTTATCTTTCTGCTGTCCAAATTCTAGTTTAATCTTGTCAAAACTTTCAAACCAGGGGCCATTTGTAGATTTTGCATACAAAAATAGTTGGTTCTGCTTTTCCCAATATTTGTTTTTTAAGATGTGGTCATTTGTCAGCTGCTTAAGTTAGGCGTACGCAATTTAAAAAAAAAAAAAAAGAAAAAACAGCATAAGAAAATCAAAACAAGATTTAAATTTACATAAATATTTAAGGCATAAGAAGAAATAAACGTGATTCAAATTGTTATAATGAGGTCATTAAGCTGCACCCAACCAAAGGCACATCTGTCTCGAATTCTTTGAACTGTAGAAGCAGCCAAATCAACCACTGGCCGAACTTTGGCCAACTGTTTCTCTAGAGGTATCCTCGCACTTGTCTCCATCTGCGACACCAGCAGCAAAAAATCAGTTAAAAAATACCAACTATTCACAAGAGCAATAGTAAATAGATGATGTCTAATCCATGAGAAAAGTTATTGAGCAAAATGTCAACCACCTTTCCTATGCAGCGTGTGGTATCCAAGAGATGACAGAAATATGCAAGTTGCTTGTATAGATCTGCTTCCGTGTACTACAGATTTAAGGAAAAATTCTTCAGCTTAATCATGAAGATGTTAGAAAAAATGTGTTACATTTTAAGGGATTGTCATGAAACCTTTCTAACAAGACGCCCGTTACAGCGAGGATAGTTAGGACAAACTGTTCCTTTCTCAGAATCACCAACCAGCTGTAAGTTGAGACTTCGCGTGGTGTGCTTGCAGGTCTCATCATCACACTGAATGCCCAATTATAATGTTATCAGATTTAATTACTGCTATAACCCAAACTTTTTTTTAAGTTATATACAGTATTTTGCAAGAGATATATTACCGTCATTAAGCCCTTGTAGTACATTGAAATAAACCCCTCTAATTGTCGTTTGACCTGACAGTCAGGAAAACACATGCTTAGCATGACTATATTGCAAGCGACATTGGATATTTTTGAAGAACATGTTAGGTATTGTGATACACAAGACAATGACAGGAGGGAGATGACAAAATATACTCTAGAGAGAGAATAATAGACCTTGGTTCCACTTTGTACCCCTTGAAGACAACAGGGAACCTTGAGTGGTGTCAGCACCAGCAGTCATTTTAAGTCATGCAAGCCTAAGATATGCGATTATATTACTAACATCATTATTGGATGAGTGATTTCAGTTGTACATGGTTATCAGAAGGGGCTAAAAGCGATAAGAGCAATAAATGAGTCCAAACTCAATAAATACCTGGTTTGCTATCATTCCAGGAGACATTCTACCCATGTCGCCTTCTTCTGGACATTTGGGGCAGCGCAGCTTGCTCCAAAAATTGCAAGTAGATTTCTCTTGTTGCATTTTTGTTTGCTTCTCACCATTTATACAGATGGAGCTGAAGACAGAAGGGCAGTCAAAAGTGCCTGAACAGCTCGGACATGACAAGGTCAATGGCTCACATCCCTGGTATCTGCAACACAATCCATGACATATATTATTTCATTGAAGAAATGTATCCTTTCTTTCATTGTAGTCAATTTGGATAACATTTTACGTACGAACCTGGATGATAAACTAGAGGAAGACAGTTATTATAAAATTCATTTGTGAAGGAATAACAAATATAATAGAATATTGCAAGAGTTTAACAGAAAAAATGAACTATTAAAAAGTTCTTTAAAATTATAACAGGACAGAAACAGCATAGTACTTGGACAGAAGAAAATAGTTACCTCTCCTTATCATCTACAGCAAACAAGAGAGCATTAGCAGGGTCATTGCTGACAGCTTCACTTGATTTAATTTGGAACTGGAATAAAAACAATAAGATAATAGTTCATTGATAAAGTGTGCAAGATAGAACAAAGATGCCCTTCAAATTTAGGCTAGCCAGTAGGGCTTACCTTCGATGAGTCAAGTCCTAAACAATCAGCCAACCGCTCTGGGCTTGTTCCTTGTATTGAAGCACATAAACGAGATATGACTGGGTGGATCTGCTGTGACAAGTAGTAATCAATGTCAATCATCCATTTCCCCTCATCTTTTTTCAACTCATCAGGATGCCTGGCACGGTAAGCTATCCCTGTTGAATTGCTTGAACTAGTCCCCTGTCCCAGACAGAACAAAATGGAAAAGGAAAATCAGATTGAGATGAATGTAAAATCGAGGTCTGAAGGCCCCCTATACTTAAAATTCAGATATGATTTTATAGAAAATAAATGGATGTACAAACCTGTTCACAGCAAATTATGTATGGAATAGTATCACCAGCCGAGCAACCATTAGAATAGCCACTTTGCTTCAATCGGAGAGCCACCTATAAATTGGTCAAGTAATAACCATTGAATGATTTAGATAAATGGTAGGGAAAATTACATAAGATTAGATGGAGATACAATGCATGCAAGATCAGTTACAGTTTGTTGAACTCACCTGAACATGAGGTTGATTTTTGGCGTCTGGGTAGGCTTCAGGTGGTTTAGTCAATGTCTTTGTGATAATGTATTTCTCAAGTGCTACTTGTCCATTCCTCATTTCTTCCTGCACCTGTTACAAGCAAAGCAGGTCAATTATATAATTGCAGAATAAGCACACAACTTCACCTTCCAAAGTTCAGAAAATGATGTGTAATAAACCATAAGCAGTAGCCCTTAAAACCTTTGTATTGGTGAAGGATCCCAAGGAACTAAGACTTTCTGTTCCGCACCAAATCCAACCAAAAGAACAAAACAAAAATGGTTCAAATAATAAGCAATATTTACTTACCTTCATGAGAGAGTTATGTATTGATTCAACAACATCTTCGCAAGACCTGTAAAAATAGAAGCCAAAGTTACAAACACTCAGTGACCAATTCCTGCTTGGATTTCCAACTCGGTATAAAACTCAACACTAAAAATTACAATTAACAAAAAAGTAGAATATTGCGTACCCTCCTGACAAGATTTGACCAAGGCAGAAATCTCCCAATTCCTTTGACAGTAAGCTCCAATCACGACGAACCATATCAAGACCTTTGCGCTCAATAACCTATAGTAAAAATGTTATCTCTCCAATCTTTCTAAGAGTCACATTAGTGAGTGAAAATGTATTCAACAAATCAACATTACCTCATATGGCATCCCATCCTTGAATTGTACCTTCACAGCTGCATACTTTTTCTTCTTCAAGAGCAACATTCTCTTGTACAGGCCATCAAGGTCAATTTCTAGACACCTATACTTCTTGTTTACCTAGACATAAAGAGATAGAGAAGTTACATCTTACACAAAGTGCCTAAAAGATGGGTTTAAATTCAAAAAGAAAAAGTATGGCACATTAAAGCCAGCTCTATAGTTTATACCAATCCTCACTAAAGACTTCAAGGGAAATCTAAACCTTTGAAAATGAGGATTCAAAATTTTGAATGTGGCAACAATTCAATCAAATTCTAAGAAAAGGGCTATAGCAATACAGTCTAAAAGATTGGAACTAACAGGACTTTTTTTCTTCTCCATTATAGGTTTTAGGTTTAAACAAACCCTTGCAGCAAATCTTATCAACCACATTCCTAGCTATAAACACCATATTTGCATCACATTACAAGCACAGCACATACTGGAACTTTTATGAATTTATTCTTTTTTTACTATGCGTGAGGTAGCCAACATAAGTTCAAAAAAAGCACATTATTAGAGCCTTACCTCCTGGATGACTTTTCCTGCAATTGCTTTTGCTTTTGCAATATCATCCAGTCCACTGTAAACCATAATAGAATCTGTATCACCATAGATTACCTGCAAAATACAAAAGCACTCATCTTCAGGAGCATAATTCATTAATTAACATAGACATGATATGGCAACACTATTCATAACTTCTGAACATCAAGGCATAAGAGAATACCTCTAAGTTTAAATTATTCTGAACAAGATCAACAGTACTTTGTAGAATCTCCCTTCCCTAAACAAAAGCAACATAACTTAGATCAAATCACAAGAAAATAATCCATAAAAAAGCCAACATCTTTCTACTTGAGAACAGGATGGATCTTTGCATTTGCGTGTATGCTACATAAAGCTCTCTTACTTGTTGCGTTATAAGCTCTGCAAGAGGTTTTGCATAAAATCTTGAATTGGAGAACCCAAGGCATCCATACATACTGCACAGCAAACGTTATCAGGTCATACACGAGAGAGATACCATCTAAACTACAAAACAAGACTTGTCAGTACAATGTTGCAAGAAGCCAGAAACTAGAAAAAAAAAAAATTGAAAATGCCACCTACAGCAGGACAGGTTTTGGTGATGATACTAAAAACTTTCAAAGAAATTGAAGGGTCATGAATCTTCAAGGAACATTACACATGTCTTAGTTCAACCAAATGACCTCCAAAATAATAGTAAAAATAATTAAAAATACACACAAACCTATTTGCAGTAAGCTTTAGTGCTTGCTGCTGAATATCAAGTTGCTGGACCTTGATACCAGATGCATTTTTCATCCATGACTTTACCATTCTCCTTCTCTGAACCAAATTTTTCAGCAACTACAGAAGGGTATGAAAAACAAATTATCTACTGGTATGTGTGAAGTATTGGAAGCAAATAGAGAATGTAGAGACATCTTTCACAGAGAAGTTTCATTCAAATGTGTAGAACAAGGAGCCAACAAGCCAATGGCTCTTCAAACAGTGATATATGCAGATTGTTGATGAGCATCAATTACACCATCTCAAAATTTCTTTTATCATATTTAATTGATCACTCAAAATAGTAACTAACATCCTGTGATTATAAATAGTTTTAACTCATAATAATCTTGCCATTAAATTTTCAAAAAGCATTTCTAGTTCCAAAATTATAAAAAAAACAATAAGTTATTACTTCTTTAAATTCCTTCTCTCAGAGTTTCTGTATTGTCTTCTCAAGATACAACTCAAAAACATTCCTCTTCCATTTTGGAAGATCTCAAACATTTTGCAATTACTAGAAAATAATAATAGATATCCATTAGTTGTTGATGTTTCTATTGTACCCTTTATTATAAACCATCAAAAAACATGATGCAATTAAGAATAAAAAGTTAAGATGAAGCGCAAAGGCAACTACCCTCACTAAAGTTAATGCATTTCTATAGGGGATTTACACTTCTAGACAGTCAAAGTGTTTACTTAGAGAAGAATTATACAGACAGCTAGAAGACAAATAAAGAAGCAGAGTATGAATATAAGTTTCAACACAATTTGGCAAATTCCGCTGTTCAAAAGTAATCAGCAACAAAGGATTTAGAATGTTAGAGGAGATTATACCTCAGGTAGAACCCCAGCTGTTTTACTAGATGGCAAACGGGGAATTAATCCATCTGGAAATCTTTCAACTGTTGTGAAGCATATATTGTATTCCTGTAATAATCAAATTAGTAGCTCATACTCACTAAAAGGGTATATGCAGCAGAAATCACCACAACCTTGTATTAGAGAAGACGAGATAAAATTTCCGATTGATAATAAAAGAGACATGAGGGAGTTGTTAAAACCTGAATAATGGAAGGGTAAAGGCTATTGAAATCCAGCAGCAATACATATTTGTCATACAGTCCTCTTTTTGGCTCCAAAACCAATCCGCCTGCATAGGCAGGACCTTTTTTGCCTTTCCCATGTTCATTATGAGTTTCATCTTCAAAATTCACATCATTGTTATCCACCTCATCCATATTTCCATCCTCAACACTATTATTTATTCTCTTTTTTGTAACTTTTATTTCCTTTGTGTGTGATGAAGACTTGTCTGGCACAATGTACTTTTTTGCATGAAAAGCATGCAACAAGAGATACTCTACTCTTTGTGCCCTAGCACCCTGAAAAGCAGCATGTTCTTTTAGGTCAAGTCAATGAACAGATATTGAGACAATTACACGTGGGGAACCAAACGGGACTCACCTGGAGAGTTTTTCCCCAGAGATTACCACTAATATTGGTCAGCTGGCGAGTAAGGGGAAGAACACTTAGATGAAACATTAGTTCCATAGATAACCATGCATCAGTCTCCCCATATTCAATCTGAACACATCACGGATATAATTAGAAGCATGATATCCCGGACCAGTCATAAATTTCCAGTTATAATTGACTAGGTTGTCCTGCTGCACACGCCCTGAGTATTGTAATGCTCAAGTTCAAGCAGTATAGTCCATAATTTGTTAAAATGCACAAAGCATGGTAAGCAGTAAAAGCTCTGAGCCAAGAAGTCATAAGTTATTAATTCTTTTTTTTTTTTAGAAGAATCAGAGAAAACAGCAAAAAATTTAATCAGAAAATGAGGAAAAACGGTGAGAAAATAAGGGAAAATGCACGAGTTATTAATGCATTTACAACATAAATTGAAACATTGCAAGAAAAGCATCAGACAAACATCATGCAAGCTGGGTACTAATATCAAATTACAGCTTAGATTTATCTTTCTTATTGCATGTTTATCAATGTTTTCTATGAATGTTATTAAAGCTCAAATGTCACCTAATTCAAATGTAATTAAGAACATTATAAATGAAAAAGAGCTCAAAGCATGCTACTAGACATAGTTATCAGAACCTACAAGTTCCATGAGCGATTCAGATGTTTGGAACATTCTGGGAATATCTTGTGGAGCAATCTCCTTGCGGTCTTTGTTCAGCTGAGTCTTTGACAGTTGTGTCAAAGAATAGCTAACCTGAGAACCAAAATTGCATGTTTAATAAGCAAAGGTTGCCACCATCTCAGTTCACATACTGCATTGAGGGTGTAATGCACCAATTGACATACCTCTTTTAATAAGTCACGGGAACACAAATACGTATCACATAAAAGACGACCAGCAATGCAGGACATGATCCCTGGGCTTGCTCCAGACCCAAAGATGGTACTTCCTTTTGTTAACTTGGGCATCACAGAACGCTTCAGACGGCCAATTTTGGACCACATGCTGCTTGGCACTTTGCAAGTCTGCACATAAGTAATTTATTAGCACTATATGGTCAATGGGAACTCATTATATGGACATCTGATAGGCACAGAAGCAGCTTCCACTTGAAGAATAAGATGAGGAAAAGTTAAATCAAAGAACTATATAAAGTTAGCCATCTAAACATTTGATGATACAGAAAAGCTAACTATAACATCAAGAAAATAAATTTAATGGTGGCTAAAAACTAATTGCATATAGGAGAAACTCTCATGTGTACATTGACATATTGATTAATAGTGATTCAATAGTCTTGCACCTACTAGGTTTTGTTAATTATTCAAAGAAGAAACTACAATAAGCTATCAATGAATGCCACCTCCTGCTTAAATATACAAATAGGGCCAGCAGATTGTAGCCTGGCCATGATCTTTTGCCAGTGGCTGAGAATGTATATAAAGTGTAGCTTTAAATTACTCTTATAATAAAGCACTTTGAGGTGATTCCCACCTGGGCTCTATGCAGGAGAACATCCAAGTCAAACCCAGATATATTATGCCCGATAAGAACATCACTGTCCAACTTGTATAACTCGATCATCAGTCGATTTAATAAAGCTCTTTCACTGCAAAATAGCAAGGAAAGATACTTCAACAACAGCCACTAAATATAATTATTCAGGGTTAGTATCATGTTAGAGGCAATGGTCAAAAAGTTCGGTGAAGACAACATACACAACTTACCTGCTTTCAGAGACTAAAACAATTGATCCAGCTTTTGAGTTTCTATCTGTCACCTCTTTGGTAAACCCCATTGGAAATATGCCTCCATCAAGTTTACGGACAACAGTAAAGTGACTCAGAAGACCAGGTTTCTTCCATTCTGAAGCCAACATGGGAGTGTCTATCTGAAAGCCCAAACCGTGCATATCATGTTACTTTCTTAGGTCAAAACAGCAACTTGTGTGGGTTAGATCTTTGCCAGTTTATAAAACACTTAAGCTAATATTAGTGAAGTTAAATCAATGATAGCATCTTTCTGCAACTTGGATCCAAGATGGTTTCCTAAAAAAGAGGAATGTGGAAGTAAAGCCTATAAAATCAAGTTGCATATATTTTGCCTAAATAACTGGGCCAGCCTGAAAGCATAATGAATTATGTTAGCTATCAATTGCTGAAACATCTAAATGACTCAGCTAAGCTTAAAAGTGCACTAATTCTTCTTAGCTCCATATGCCTGCATAATACGTAGGAAGAAATGTTTGATGTTATATCTATTTAAGACTGAATCCCCCAGAATTAACAATTCAAGCAGCTTACCAAGTCTGGAAAGAAAAAAGGCTAAATTAAATCAACCAAAGCTATTTAAAAAAGTTCTTGACAAAACATGCCTAAAGTACGATAGGAGAAAAAGCCTCATCAACAAACCTTAGCCCTGTGGCAACAGATAATGGATGCTGAGACTACTTCATTTATATTCTGCCTCTCATTGATGATAGTCTTCAAATTTATCGCTGAAACAACAACCGGAGGAATTTCTGTCGTGTTCTTTGATGAAGTTGAAATCCTAATGTCTTTGGGAGAGTCAACAATAATCTCATACTTGCACCAGCTGACCTGTCAGAGTTTAACCAAACTGTCAACATAAGAACCGAAAACATGCTTAAAGAATTTGTGAAATCAGCTAAAACCACAGCAGATGCCTAGGTTCAAGAATCTCACCCTCTGAGTAGCTGGACAGGTAGAAAACTTTGAAACTGATAGCCAAGAAGGTCCCTTTACCTTCCTTTTAACAAGGAAAAGCTCCAATGCACTGCAAGTGATGATTCCTGTCAGTAATCCTTCCAATTTTTCAAGTAAAGAACCCAAATTATTGCATCCTTCAACAAAAAATATTGTGATTAAACAGAAGCTCATCAAGAATAAGCTTTCTGGAAGATAATCAAGTCAAATTGATTTTAAATTTTAAAGTAGCTTTAAAACATTATCATTGCATGTCATAGATAAAAAAAAATTATGATTATCACTAAACAATCAATCAACTTCATATCATGTAATTGGCCAATCACCAAAAGCATGTTGACTCAACCTTTTCACCATAAGGTAAGTGAGAAAGGGCTTTACAAAGCTAAACAGCTAGAATAACACTACAACAATTGGGAAAATTTTACAAAAGGCTGATAACAACTCATAATACCACATGATTTACCAAACATGTGGGACAATTAAATTGGCAAATTACTTTGACTGGAAAAAGACATTTGCATGTGTCTACGTATCTGAACCAGCCATTGGGTATTACATCAAGTGATTACAGGATGGGTGTGGTTGGGTTAGGTGTTACCTTTAAATCTAAATGATTTTATAGATATACAAACACACAGATGTATTAAGATATGAACATGTGCAAGAGAAAGCAATTCAAAACATTATAAATTCTGCTGCTATCACTTTTTCCTCTTAAAAAAATGTTACAACTACTTAAACCTGCTATGAGTCCCAAGCAGAGTGCAGAATGTTTCTCCTTTCAAATCTAATGGAAGTGGTGGATCCTGAAAAACAAATGAGGACAAAAAGCAATTTTTAAACAAGAGGTAGCAATCAACAACAGAATAAGCAACTAGTTTATCTATCAGGGACATTAGAATCATGGTTTGTGACAACTTGAAAAGAATGACCTTTTAGGCTCTCAATTCAATTGAACTTAAAAAAAAAACATAGTTGGTCAACAAAATATGTGAAAATAAACTCTAGGTGAAACCATGTTCTTGTTTGAATTACAGTTTTACTCATATACCTTGAATGGGTAGTTAATCTTGAGCACATAATTCTCCCCAATAGGTATGTCAGATCTCTCAAATGCATATTGTCTCTGAAATTTGATCACCAATTCAACAAACCCTTAAGAACAAGTGTTTTGCAAATTTGATCATCAATAAAGTACTAAGGGTCAGATTGATTGAATCTGCAAACCTTAACCGGTGCCATGGTAAAACTTGAAACATTAAGATTTAACAAGTGTTGTGCAACTTCATTCTTCAACCCTGATGCCACATCCTTTAAGAACAAAATTGGAGAGTAACATCAAGCCATCAAGTGACATCCAAAAAGGTAAAAATACCAAACGAGAGAAAATGAAGGCAAATAAAAACAACTTACATGCAACTTTGTTCGGAAACCTGAAGGAGATATCTTCGATTCTTCTGCATCTTTCTCTAGTTTCACCATCTCATCATTGTGAAATATAGAATTGTGGGGGAATGCATAAACGCATCTTTGCATATTCTTTACAACAATACAACAACTTTGGTATCCACTCCCAACTTTGACCTAAATTCAAGTCCCCATTTCAGACAACCAAAAGCATTTTTCATATTAAGATATAAACATATGAAACACAATTCACATCTAAATTTAAAGCAAAAACCAAACATAGCACCATAAAATTACTTCAAAGAAGCTATAGAAAAGTCATTAAGATTACAAATTACCTTCCCAAAGAGATAAAGGGTACCCATATTAGCACCATAAAACTCCTCATGAGCATCAAGTATGTAAAATGGCAATGAACCATCCACGTCAAGCTTAAACTCCGATTGTCCTTCACCACTAAAACCATTGTTCCCTTCCCCACAGCCACTCACATTGCCATCCCCTTCACTCTTCAGCGCCTTCCACCCCGCCATTGCACTCAAAGCCTCATCCTTCTTCTCCTCCGAAATTTTTGCATTCAATTTATGCACGCTCTCCCCCTTCTCCTCCTTCCTCTCCTTTATGGCCTCTGCCTTCATTTCAACCTCAGGCTCCACTTCCTTGACCTCGATCTTGCTAAATTCCACAATTGCTCCTACATTGTTCTCGGGATACTTCTCCTCAACAAATTCCTCCAAACCTTTATCTGAAACTAACTCATCTTCACTCCTAACGGAATTAACCACTGTGGGAGCCACTTTGGAGGGCCTAACAGAAGCCAAATGATTGGTTTGCCCTCGCCTACGGCGTTCCCTATCAGATTCATCAGGGGCAAACTGCTTGATCACATCATCAACAATGCTTTCGCATTTCACCTTGTCAGTTTCTTTACTCTTCTTATTAAAAGTCGATGAAGTAAACATCGAAGAAACCCTCTGTTTCCCCATCATTGCTGCCGCTGCCGATAACGAAGCGCTACTTTTGCTTACTCTGTTGCTATGGTTGTTGTTGTTTTCCTTTTTGTCCTTTTTCTCAACCTTTTTTTTCCTCGAACATCTTAGACCTTCAGACCCATCATCGGACGACGAATAATGGTTCGCCCGAGTCCAGTCAACTTCGTTGCCGTCATCACCGTAGCCGAAGTCTCCATATTCTTCATCGTTCTCAATGAAATCTTCAGCCTCTTTTCGCCTCTTGTTCACGATCTCCTGGTAAGCATTTTCGTCGCAGTTATCGAACACCGGCTCATCGAGCTTGATGTAGTAAGCAGGTGCGGAGGAATCGGAGCGACGCCCGCCCTGACGTAGGGCTCTTAAGCGTTCTAGGGCTCCAGCACGTTTCTCCGCCTCCGCTCCTCGGCCACGGCGGCGACCTGCGGTGCCTGCTGGCTCGTCCATCGGCCTGTCACCATCCATTGTTCTACAACCCGTAGATTTTCATCTATTTTTTTTGTTTGAAAAAAGGGTTTTTGGTGGCTTTGATTTCAATGGGTTTTTTTGGTGAAACGTTGAAACAATTTAGGGAATATAATTATAAACGGCGGGAAGGTTTTTGGGTTTTGGCGCCAATACCCTTTGTTCTTTTTTTCCTTAAGTATTCCAACAGACGCCCTTTGACACTCGAACCGATGAAAAGCCACGTCACTTAAGTTTTCAAACTTAAAACTCATCACGGGATGATTCACCACCAAATATAAACAACTTAGAAAGAAATGATTTTACAACAAAAAGGTTCAGCATTTTTACAAACGCGTTGTGGACAAACCAGCCACTAACCGAACACAAGGACAGTGGCGACATCTTCAACAACAACAAGCATCCACGGAACCAAAACCATTATGCCACTGCATACACCATAAACTTCCAAAAGAAAATAGAGAAATTTTATCACTCATCCAACCAGTAATTCAATCGGATATTCCGTGGGAAAACCTCATGCCTTGGGCTTTGACAATCTCTAAATTTTTTGCTTTGGGCTTTTGACAATCTCCGCTGGGCCAAGCTTGAGTTCTTCTCCATGTATCTTGATGACTTGATGATAGATTATTTTTTTATAAAAAAATCCCAGTTTGAAAATTAAAGAAAGTTAGTTGAAATTTGAATTCATATATGTTAGATGATATCTGTTAGATGTGATAGATGTATGAATTAATTAAAATTTTTTTAATGTCTAAAATAATTTCATAATAAATGAGATTCTGCCGAAAGTCAAACTGATAGGAAAGAATCAGATTATATCATTGCTGTGAAAATTTGATCAAACAACGTTGTAATATTGACCATTAGGTTCACTTGCAACCTTAACATAACGTTTTAAAATTGGGGCCTGGACCAAAGAGAGAGAGGCTTTGAATCTTAAGTTAAACATTTCCACCCAATGCAAGCAGACCAGAGGGCCCAAGGCCTATGGTCAACAAGTGGACTACATGGATTGCTCCATTGTTCTTAAATCCGCCTTTGAACACACATAAATGGGGATCCAAGATTATGTTCTTTGCTGGTGTATGAATGGAATTGATCAATACCATCATTCCCTTTTTGGCTGGAGTCAAGAGAAGATTTATATACAAAAGGAGAACTGGAGAACCAAATTCCCTTGACAACAAGAAATAGCAGCTTAGCCATCAATAGTAAGCTGAACTCTTAGTTTTAGTTATCAAAAAACACATCAGGCTATGGAAGGAGCTTCCGAGAACTTACCTGAATACAACTAGAAGTCTGCTTTCAAAGCAATTGCAGTTTCCATTTGCTCACGTGCACCTGAGGCAGGCAGCTGCCCCATATGTCTACAAAGTAAAATATTTTTATCACGGCTCTGAATTTGTCAAAGAGTCCAAATACAAACACATGTTTATTCATTTTCCCAAACTTTCTGTTGGTAATGAAGCTAAAGCATCTTTGAGTCCAAAACCAAAGAATATGCCAGTTTATGGATGTGGGGGCTCTTTGAGGGCCTGACTCTTCTAGTTCTAGCCTACGCCAACTACCCAACCATGCCTTGGTTAGCTGCCCTTTGCTTCAAAGTTCAAAGTCATCATAGTGACAAAGAAAAATACCAGTCATTCCAATTTCTGATGGCAGAGGTCCTTGTTATTTTTTTTATCATAATTAAAGTATTAAGCCACTCTTAATCATTATAATTTTTCATTCTATCGAGTTAATATAAGTGTGATTTTACAATAATGGAAGTCCACACAACAAACTAACTGTTGGGAATAGTTACTTAAATTTCATAAGAGATTTTTTGGGATTGATCAAATATTACTTGATGGATAAAAATACTTGTAGGAAAAATAATTTTAAGAGGAAAAGAAATCTTAATAGGCAAGTTTGTATGTTTATAAATAAGTTAAGTCTTTACATGATTGGATATGAGAAAAAGATATAAGAGAGTTATAAGATTTTGTGATATAGATACCCCATAAGAGTACTAGGGATTTACGTATTATGGGTGTGTATGTTTGAATATTTTAGAGTAAATTAAAAGAGATTGAAATGGTCTACATATATATGATGTATGGATGCATATGGGTATGCGTTTGATTATGTTGAAAAGGATGCACATGGATATATGTTTGTTTGGATTGAGAATACTCCATAAGATTAGAGGAGATTAAGAATATCTTATGAGTATTAATTATTGAGTGAGATTGATGATTTTATTTATATATTTATAATTTTTTACAACTAGTGAATATTATTTCTCATCCGTAAATGTAAGTTGATTGGATCAAATCACATTAAATTATTATCTTTTATATTATTAATTGATTATTTAATTTTATTTTCGTTGTGTGATTTGATTAAGACTTTTTGATCGAACACTAAGGTCGCTTATGCAAGAAGGAAAGCCAAGATAAAATTAATCATAAAAAAAGGAATTGAAATGGAGGTTTGCAAAAAACTTAAGCTAACGGCCTGAACCAGAATCATCATTAGGTGAAGAAATCTAAATAAATTCTTAATCATATCTTTAGAAAAAATAATATAATTATACATATATAGGGCGTGGTTATGAAGCAATGACATATTGGTATGTTGTTTACAGCACATGAATCTCATATAACACGTTTCTTCATTAGATAAATGACATGCCAAACTTGTGCATCGCATGTGGATCTACCATTGATTACGCTTTCAAGTCTTTAATTCTTTGCATTTTCCTGTCAACATATATGGTTGGCATATTTTAATATTAAGATTTAGTTTTGATATTGATTTGCTTATCCCTTATTATTACTATTAATTTTGCTTTTGAAAAAAAAAAAAAGAGTACGGTGAATATGAATACAAAATGGTTGAAGCAATGCTAGTTTATTATCTTGGTCATGAATAAAAAAAACAATCCAAAGTCCCACCAAAATGATTTATCCTGCACCAACGGGCTGTTTTACACAAAGTGCTTGCGGCAAATCTAAATAGAGATGTCGGCAGGCTGCAGTCTGCCTATTTTCCTTGCTCTTTTTGGGTGTTGAGAAATCATTATTGCTTAATGAAGGAAATTGTTTAAAATAAAAGAAAACACAAAACATTTATTTCACTACAATTATTTTTTATTTAATATCAATACAACATGCACGTAAAATATAAACTAATGTGGGTCAATCACCAAAAGTTGAAATTCAATAAGTTGATTTGTATGACTTGAGCTGCCATGGTGGCTGCCGTGCCCAGTTCCTACAGTCTACCTGGTATTGGAGTTTAGACAAAAAAAATAATCAGCTTCAAAAGGAAAACAAAGCACACGTTTCACACGTGAATTCAGTTCAAACTGCAATTCGTCAACCATGAGTCCATTATATTCATCAAAGAAATTAAGTTGGGATTTAATCTATGCTCGAAGGGTCAAGTCAATGTTAGAATTTCAGAATGCAAAACTCGGATTGGTGGACTGAAATGTCTCAACTCTCAACGTTAGATGAACAATTACCCACTTCTGAAATTGTATAAGATTGATGATTTGGTAAAATTTGATTGAATCTGGAACTTGAAATGAAGCAGCCCAACAAAATCTTAACAACTCAGGTTTAATTTTCTGCAAATGCATAGTTTAATATTTGCCGGGAAAGGAATTGGAAAATATGTTATTGGTTCAAAGCAAAAGCAAAATCAAAATAAAGAATTGCCTGCACACTCTGTGGCCACGTGAGTAGCCAATCAGAACTCTTCATTAGCAAAAGGTCAGCCTGTCTATGTTTTCCTAATTATTTACAGTAAAAAAAAAAAAATCATCACCAATTGCCACCAAAAAAAAAACGAAAACCAATTGGATCAGAGCCGTCAGATTTGATGAAGGCAATTCAATTACTTCTCTTCTTCTACCTCGCGGTGATCCAGATACCGGAAATCGACCAATTGGGTGCCTGTTCACAAGACACTTGACGAATCCGATCCAAAGGTGATGAAATGTAACTTGAAAACGAAGAAACAAAGTTTGAATTCTCTTGAAAATTTGATTGAGAAGAAACTGATGATTGAGTTGAAACCCAGTCAGGAAAATCGAATGGACATCTTGGTGATTCTGTAAATTCTTCAAAAGAACAGTTTGGAGATGTTGCAGCTTCTTCTTCATTTAGATTCATTACAATAGTCTCTTCATTACCAGTCATAAAAGGATGATCCAGGAGCATCTCAGCAGTCCATCTATAATTTGGATCCTTAACAAAGCACTTTCCAAGAAAATCTCTTCCTTCCTCAGATAACTCAGCAGGAATTGCAGGGACTTCATCACTAACCCCGATTTTAATCAGCAAAGCCGCCACGTTTGTTCCTGGTTTGAAATTCCAGGCTGGTTTCCCCGTAAACATCTCAACAACAGCACATCCAAGTGCCCAGATATCCACCGGTGAATCATACTCGTTCTCATTAACAGACTCTGGTGCGATATTGACCGGAGTTCCCCTGATTTCCATCCTTCTGTGTTCTTCTCCTTCTTCTCTCCCGTTTCTCTTTGCCAATCCAAAATCAGCTATCTTGATATCCCCATTACCAAACAATAGAATATTTTGAAGTTTAATATCACAATGAGCAAACCCTTTGGCATGGACAAAGCGTAGCCCTTTAAGTATCGATCTTACATATCTTCTAACATCAGATTCTATCAAGTTTCCACCGTTTTTCTTAACCTGATCAGCCAAGCTTCCTTTATTAGCGTACTCCAAGAACAAATTATACAACTTCTCACCATTCTCAATGGTGTAATCATCGCCAAAACATCGGATGATTTGCGGGCAAAAACCAAGTTGATCAAACACTTCCTTCTCGTTCTTGAGAGAAACAGAGTCGACAGTTTCACAAGACTTAACAGCCATTACAGGACATTTTGAAAAGGCTTTTTTAGGTACCGCGAAATTGACGGTGCCAAAACTTCCACATCCAATCTTATCCCCTCGAACCCACTCCATTGGAGACTCCAACTTTCACTGAAGAGTTCAAGGTTGTTTTCTCAGGTTTGGTTTTGGAAGCAATTGAAGGCCTTTTTTTTTGCTTGTTTCTTTCAGAGAAAGAAAAGAGGGCAAAAAGGCGCAAAACAGAGGTCACAGGGCGTTATAGCGGCGCAAAGTCCTTCTTATATACAGGGGAAGGATTTTTTTTTTGGGTTTAATTTATTTGGTAGGCGTTCAATTTCATTGTATGAATTGAATTTTCCTAAAATTAATGCACGTGATAGGCAACGATATTTTATTTGTTTCAATTTGATTTTTCAAAGTTGGATATTAAAAAACAGCTTTATCCCAAACGTGGTCGATACTCGATATCGCGGATCCATAAAGATTTTTACTCTACACCCACTCGGATTTGGAATTTTTTTATGTTTTACAATTTTCAATTTGACTAAAATGCCATTGCTCTCTCCCTTATTCCTGCTTTTGAGTAGGATTTTTATAGGTTGTTAAACTGTTATTAAGCTGGCTCGTCAGAGGCACCTTCCTCATCTAATATGATGTTTAGTAGCTAATTAAGATTAATAAAAAAATAAAATTTAAAATTTAATTCAATTTATATATGTACTCATTTTTAAAAAATGACATATAAAAAATTTAAAATTCAAATATAACATTTACAATATTTTCATAAAATTAAGAAAAAAAATTTAATAAGCTATTAAACTCGTATATAAAGGAGGATGCAGCTGATTAAGATTTTAAATTATAGAAACCAAATACACCCTAAACTTTGAGTACCTCCCTAATATTTAAGACAAAAGGGATAGAACTGACAAGGGCTTATGCTTAATGGTACCAGCTTTTGTGCTAATAAGTATAAGTTTAACCCACATATCACATACATTGAATTAAATCAGTTTTTTATATTAAAAAAATTAGTTGTTTTATTTTTAATTTCCAAAAAAAAAAAAAAGGACCAATTTAGATTGATGTTTATTTATTTGTATTTTTTTTAAAGAAAAAGATCAAGAGAATATCCAATATATATAAAAATACACATACTTGAGCAGTAGATTTTTTTCTTTAAACAATTGATAAGGGTAAAGATTTTTTATTTATTAACAAAAGTAACAATTAGTGGACAAAGACTGATTTTTTAGCTTTTAATTTTCACATAGAAGATTTTTCGAAAACGGCTATAGTTTCTCTACTAAACCTTGTCTTTTCATTTATGTTACTCAAAGTAGTTATAACAACAATTTCAACTGCTTATGAAGTTTTTATATTTCACTGTCTCACATTATATAGGAAAATTATTTATAGACTAACATGTAAAAATTAACCAAATTATCATGAACCAACTTTTTTCTAATTGATTTTTTTTTTTTAACTTGGAGAAATGGGCATTCATTAATCCGATCAATTAATAGTTAATTAAGATAACTTTAATTTAAAATCAACTTCTTTTTTGTTACACGAAAACACAATAACTATATATAAGGTTGATATGACAATGTGATGGGAGGAATTCCTATTGTACCGTAATATTGTTTTATGACTTATGAAATATTAAGGGTCGAATCATAAAATGTAACTATGACATAATGGAAGTCCCTTTGATTATATTGTCAAATTCTAACCTTCATTTAGAAATAATTTAGCGTTACCCTAAAATGGGAGGTTTGGTGATTGTCCCCCTCTCTTTTCTTTTTCATTTTTCAAAGAGTACGGTAGATAATTCTATATGTGACTTGAAGATAAAGAAATGTAGTAATTAACTTTTTAGGGGTCGCCTAACTATATAGAGTTGGCAATTTATGATTCCTTTTTCATTTGATTGATGAATTTATCTTTCTTCAGTTTGTTAGTGATCCTAAATTCAACTGATGTTGCTTTCTTTTAGACACAAAATCTCCGAACCCGTGTTTAACGTGCTATTAACAATGTCCAATTGTCCATATCATTTTTTAAAGCTAATAGATTTCATTATTTATTACGGAAAAAATGTTATATATAATTTGATACTTTGATTTTTTTATTTAATTTATAACCATTCATGATCATGTGAGGGCAAATAATATCGACCCTTTCTTTTTGAGATCTTGATATTAAACACCTTGATTTCCCAAATGTTGCCGCTGTGACCACCTGACCCAGCTCACAAAGTATGGCATTGGCCTAAACAATTTTTAAGGTAATCCAATTATCCAAAATCATGAAAATAGCAATACTTCTTCTATAATTTTCTATAATTCTTAATTGTATAATTCTTTTAAAAGCATTAAAAAAATACATTTTAGTCTAATAATGAACAAAATAAACTAATTGAATGAAAAATCGACATATAACTTAAAAATATCAACATAATATTGGACCAACTCAGCATAATATGAGACACAAAATGTTCTTTCAAAATTTTAATCAAGATTATAGCATATTTCAATTTGTTTTTCAAGCATAAAAAACTATAACTACTCTGTATTAACAATCATTACCAGCCATAAAATTTTTTTAAAATACTTAATAAAATAAGTGAAGGTGCAATGAGACAATATCCCACAACTGTCATGAGAAGGCGGTGTGGGTTTCAGATCATCCTCAATCCAGCTGCATGATAACATTACCTAAGCCTTTAAAAAAAAGATCAGAATCAATTTGGCCAACTTGTTTTAACTAAAGTGTGTGCGCATGTCTGGTCATCAAATCAGTAGCATTCACTTCGAATCCAGTTCTTCTTCTCTGCACAAAGAAAGAGAGAAAAGAAAAGAAGAGGTCACGTTTTGGGTCTGCAAACCTTAGCCATCGATCGCATGTTGGCACGTTCTATACCCCTGGCTGAAATTATATCACTTACTCCACCCTGTCTGTTACCCACCGCTTTCTTTCTCTCTTAATCCCAATAATTTTTTAGCCCTCCCTCTTTCTTTGCTTTGCTTACTTCATAATTCATCTCCTTTTTTTCAACTTCTCTTTTGCATTGCTTTGGAGAGTTATTATCAGCAGACTATTGGACGTTTTTTTTTCAGTTAAATTCCAAGAACCAAGGCCTTGGCTTACGTGCTCCTAGCCTCTCTTATCCATTTTCTTAATACAAAAATTACTGGATTGCGTCCGTTATAACTATTAAAGATGTAGTATATATATGTAATACATATCTTTCCCCCAACACGTTTTTTTCGAGGCATTCATTTTATTTTATTTCTTTGGCTAATGAAACTTGAAAGGCAGGAAGAAACTTTATGTACCAGAAAGTCTCTCATCATGGCAAATGAATGGGATCAAGCATCCCTTAATGTGTGATTTTCAAGTTATTTAACTGAAAAAGAGAAAATCACGTCAACATGAATAAAATATGGAATAAATCAAAGGTTGCATGAAAAAGGTGCCAAATTTTGGCCTCTATCAGACGTTACCACTTTCTTTTTTTTTTTGGTATGAAAGTGTGTTGGGACTTGGGAGAGGGTAGATGGGTGTGATTTACTCATTAGGTATAGGTAGGAGAACCCTCAAGGCTCAAACTAAAGCATTTCCCTTCTTTCCGTTAGTTCACGTTTTTTCGAATTGTTATTTTTTTTAATAAGATGCATTTAATCTTTTAATATATATATATATATATATAGGTCTGGACCCCTTTATATATATATATATATGCATTGTTCATGTGATGTGTTTTTATCATTTTTATCAATTTTTTAATTTTTTATATATTGTATTATAAAATCAAATTTATTTCTTTCAAGTGAGGTCCATTACCATTTTTGTCGGACCCATTTTTTTGTTATTTATTTATTATTATTTTTTTAGATTTTTAAATATTATATTATAAAATTATTTTTTACGAGGCCCACTATTTTTAAATGATGGGATCCGTTTTTTATTGATAAGGTTTTTTTTTTTTTACCATTTTACGTTTATATTTTATATTTTTAATTTTTTTTACATATTTATTATTTAAAAAATATGTTTTTAATGGAGCCCATTATTTTTTGTTTTTCATAGAATCTTTTTTTGAGTTTGTTTTTTATTTTTTATGGTTTTTATTTCAACGAGGACTGTAATTTTTTTGATAGATCCGTTTTTTGTTTTGTAATTTTTATGGGACCCATAATTTTTTTAAATTTTTTCGAGGGCCTTTATGAGTTAATTTGTTTTTTATTTTAATGCTTTTTTATATGTATTTTATGCTTATATTTAAATAGAGCTCACATTTTTTTTATAGATCCACTTTTTTTTTAGGTTTTTTATTTTTATAATTAATAATTTTTTAGATGTGGGACTTACTTTTCTATTATATTTTTTGACTCATTTTTGTCTTTGTTCTTCTTAAATTTTTTTCGTTTGGCGTCGATTGTTTTTAAAATTTTTTGCTTATCTTATATTTAATAAATTTTTTATTTTTTTGTTTATAACCATTTGATATAAAAAATTTTCTCTTTTTTTTTCCCTATTTTTAAAAAAATTAATTAATTTTTTATATCTTATTTTTTTGTTAGATCCATTTGATACCAAAGATATGTCTAGTTTTAAGCCAATTAAGCAATAAATAAACTTAACTTCCAAAGCAAACCCTACACAAAAAATAAAACATATCTTAAAAATTATTAATATGCAAAAATGTAAATTAAAATAAAAGAAAAGTTATAAATCTGTAATATAAATTTTGCAAGGATAGCTCATTATTGTTAATGTGGCGTGGCAACCCAACTTTCTTCTTTTTTTTTTCTTTTTATCTTTTCTTTTTGCTTTTTCTAAATTTTTTGCTACCTTTCATTTTTTGTTTTTTTATTAAATAATTAAAAAAATAATGATATTTAAAATTAGCATTTTATTTCATTTTTTTATCTCTTCAAAAGAAATTGTAAATTTTTTTAGATGTCAATTGAGGTATGCTCAACAAAACAATTCGAATTCGATAGATTTTGATTCGTCCAAATCCAAAATATGTAATTTTTCTTTGAGATTGAAATCAAGGCTTTTTGTCAAAAATCAAGGTTGAGTCGAAGGTGGGTTTATTGTATTTTGTTTTACCTTAATTATATATTAAATAATATTTTATATAATTTTATATTTATATAAGTATTACATTAATAAAATTATTATTTAATATCTTAATTTTAAAAAATATCATATTTATACATAATTAAAATGTAATTCATAAATTAATTCATTAT